AAGCACACAGAAGAGGCTGTAGCTGTGAGGAGTAGTAACAGCACTCCAGCTGTGTGCCCTTGCAGTGTTTAATCTTCACACAGTCCTGAGAGGAGCAGACTTGCCAGCCTCGTGCTAAAGACAGGGAGGGTGGCAGAGGGACGAGCTCGCTCAATGCCACTGAGAGGAAGAGACAGTTTTCTACCCAAGGCCTGGGCCATAGAGGTCGGTGCATGACCTGTGACAGGAGTCTGCACTTCCACCGACCCGAGCTGCAGAGCCTGCAGAGACGCAGCGCTCGCTTCTGACTTTGCTTAGTCTGAAGTCAATGAGGATGGAAAACAAAGACTGAGAATGTCAACGTGCTTAGTGAATGCAGGGCCAATCACACGCTGCGATGCCAACAGAGAAAGACCATGGGAAGCGAGGCAAAAGCAGTTGAGACCTGTAAACTCTCGTTCGCCACCCAGTGTCTCTGGGGCTCTTGCCTCATTCCATCAGGGACATTTAGTAACGTCACAAGGCAGTGGTTCTTGCCAAATGGTACTGGCAACACCTGTATTTGACAGTGTATTGAATTTTGCCTTTAGTTTTATAAAAATATGCAGAAAAATTTAAAAGTGAGATTATTGATGTAACTGATCAAAATGAATCTGCTAACCACAATCAATCAAGTGCATACGGAGTTATGAAGGGCACAAAGTCCAGCAGGCAACACGGCAGGTAACTCAGTTTCACAAGACTCTCTTTAAACATGTCTTAGAGATTTTATTAATTCTCCTAACTCTCCAAAAGCACAGCCCTTACTATCTGACTTCTAAGTATTCAAGTTTAAGTACAAAAGAGAAGAGCAAAATAGTTTTTTTTCCTTGATGCCGAATTCATGATCAGATAGGTAAAGACGATTAATCACCTCAACGTTGGCCAGGGCCCAAAGCTTCCTCCCATGTCACAGCCGTGGAAGTGCAAACAGGTGCCATCCATCCTAACAACCAAGAGCTTTGCAAGTGGCTGTGCCCTCTGACTCAGAAACTCTGCTTTCAGAAACTTAAGAAAATAAATACACACACAAAGCTTCCTCCACTTAGGTACTGGCCGTGGCAGTATCTGTAACACTGAAATAATGAGTACAACATAATGAAAGGAAAACATAAGCCATGGTCCATGTGTAGAGCAGAGTGCTGCTCAGTCACTGCAGCTTCAAGGGGCAACAGGATATGCACCAGAACTGACTCCAAGGTAAACTCTCCAGGGAGGCGTGGATGAAATGAACCTGGCTACAAACCCAGAGACTCAGAAGCCACCTGGTGGATGTGTGGAGTTCACCACACTATTCCCAAATAATTCTGCAGCATCTTTGAAATTTTCCACCATAAAATGAGGTAATATAGAGTCTCTCAGTTAACAAAGAGTATACCAGGCAGGGGTGATGGTGCATGCAGGTAATTCCCAGCACCCTGGGAGGCTGAGGCAGGACCCTAAGTTCAAGCCCAGCCTGGGCGACTCAGTGAGTCAGAGAGACTTCATCTCAAAATAAAAGCAGTAAAAAGGGCTAGGGTGCAGCACAGTGAGAAAGGTCTGAGTTCAACCCCTAGTACTTGACTAAAAAAGAGGAAGAGGATACCAATGTGAATTCATGATTCTGCAACATGAATCCATGTTTATGAATGAAAAAAGTGATGCCGGGATACAGAAAGAATATACCCAAGTGTACTTATCTCTGGGTTGTGGGATTTAGCTTATTTTACCTCTCTTTTTATACCTTCTAGCTTCTCTCTTTTTTAAAATAGAGAAGTTTTATTAACTCTCCTCATGTAAAGCTATACAAAAATCTTAAAAGTTTAATTATACATTTCTATCATTTCTACAGTTACAATGGTGTATAATATAATTTACCTTTTCACAACACATCATTTCAATACATTAGTTCTGTTAAACATAAGCGCTTAGTTTCAAATCTAATACTGAACGGTTTTCTCTGTATACTGGTTAGCGGGGCTAACTAGCATACAATGCTCTTTGTAAAGAGGTATATGATCTGAGTATTAACAGTGGCTCAAGTCTGGTATTTTTATGCAGCATTTGGTTTTTGCTTTGCTCCCAACACAAGACCCTACAGGGTGCTGAAATCTCCCAAGTCCAAAGACATCAGCTGTTGAACCCCAGTACCACACCACACTTGAGGATTGGAACCCATCCGAGGGCTGCCCCAGTTACTGACCTTTCTATCAGAATAAGACTGGTTGGGAACAGAAGTGAAAAAGAGAGCTTTGAGTTTTCTGTGCAGTGCTGACAGGGGGGTAGAAATGGTGACAGACCTTTGCTTCTCACTAACAAAGGCAACTCGGAGAAGTGGCAGAGCACCCCCAGCGCTGTCTTAGGTGGCTCAGCAAGGTGTGTGTACCGCCTTCACCTTGCACTAAGTGGCCAGGCGCTGCCTCATGTGTGAAACAGCACATCTTCGCATGGGATCTAAATCTTATCACAAACTACATTGAGATTTTAAAAAACGTCTTGGGTCTATCTTATCCCTGATGCCTGAGTCTGCTGTCAGTAAAACAGAGGATAGTTCTGTGGCCAGGTACCAGATAAGAGCCTGCCTTGGTAGTCTATCTCTCCAGAAATCTCTAAGAGGAGCAAAAACTCAACTCCACACCTAAACAAATGTTTTAAAGGGAAGCAAACACGTCACCTTCCGGGTCACACGGTGTCTGTGGTGCTGCAGTCCAGCTCCCTGTGAGGCTGCTGCTGGACCACAATACTGTGTTCCTTTTGCTTCACTTTCTGCCTCACTGCTGTCAGTCTCTCCACTGCCATCATCCCCAAAGCCTGAAGGCTCCGTCATGTTCTGAGGTGAGTGGGACTCTGCATACTGACAGAGCAAGGGGTCGGAGCCAAGGGCAGCGCTCTGACCCTCCCTCCCTTCCTGCCTGCTGTCTGCGGCAGCAGTGGCATCACCTCGAGAAGGAAGCACTTCTCGCTTGCAGACGGGGCAGGTTTTCTCAGTTTTGGCCAAGAGACACTCGGGGACAGGGAAGGATTCTGTGTTTGTCTCCATCTCCATACCCATCCACACACATCATCCTCATCTCCTTTCTTACATTTACGTACAGGGAGTTTCTTATGTTGATCTTTACCAAGCCTATTCCTTCCGGCTCTATGTGTGTCCTGGGCAAATTTTGTGATCATAAAAGTGGCTATTGGGATGAGACAGATGTGTGCTATACTGCAGAGGGGACCAGACAGTATTCTAGAGGAAGACTACACCCTGGAACTAAGACACTGTGGCCCCCTTTTCCACATGTGAATTCATCTTCCAGGGAATCAGCTGACGACTCACCCACAGACACAGATGGGATGGCAATTTTTTGTAACACATTGATATGGCTGGACCCAGGCCATGGAGGTCCTGAGACCCACACTGTGAACATCGGCTGCTTTGTATCCCGCTCCGTGCACTTAAAACCTTTCCATCAAAATTACAATCAAGTCTTCTAATGAACATGATGAAAGTGCCAGGTGAATTGTCTTTTACTGGTGGAGGCGATATGGGTTCACAAGCATTCTCTGGTTTTTAATTCATCAAAAAACTCTTTAAGCCTTCAGCTGGAGGTCTATAATCAAATTTTGCTGGGAGAGCATCAAATGTCTGAGATGCATTTTCAAACTTGTATCCTAAAATGCCTGCTCCTACAGAAGAAAGTTTAGGAATGCACATAGCGGACAGCAGAGATGGTGCAGACATGTGTGGCCGACAGCGTGAACAGCCAACGGGGAGCAGCCTCTCCTCGGAACATCACCCAGAGGGCAGGTCCCTGGGACACAGGCCCGCCGGCCTCTCTGAGCTGGAGAAGATCCCAGCCTGAGTTCCTAACTGAATATCGCACCAACCTACCTCCTAACCCCTTAGGGCATTTTGTACGTAAAACAAATTGCAAAAGCTACTTAGAGAAAAGTTAAGTTCAAATAGAAATGAGCCCTCTAAAGCAGTGATGGTGAACCTTTGAGACAAGCATCCAATCTGTACCCAAAACCCAATGACTTATTGCAAATGCCAACACTGCAACTGAACCTGTATACCGAGGTTTTAATTAGAAAAAGCGATTCATGCACTAATGTCTTTCGTCTTAAAAAAAAAAAAAAAAAACAAGTGACATGCTCTGCGAGCCACAGTTTAGAGCCCTAAATTCTGAGAACAAAGCCACACATAGAACTGCACCTGTGTACTAGTCAGATTCGCTGCCTGGTCAAAGGGCCAAGCACACATCCTGTGGGCATCCCTGCTGGTCTGTGATCCTCTGCGCACTGCACCACACAGCCCACATCCCTCAACCCTGCTGCCTGCCAGCTCCTCCTGCCTCCTGCGGTTGACAGCACAGCACCCTTCCCAAGAGAGTCCTGGACATGGTGCCTGCGGCATCCAGACAGTGTGTGCACCTGGGAGCCCCTGTTGGGCTGCAGACCCTGAGGACACACAGCTCAGCCACCTGCTCAGGGTACCGCAGTACCCAGCACACAACTCCATAAACACAGCTGCTGCACTGCTTCCAGGTGAAACCCGAGCAAGAAAGGCATTTCTGAAATTACACAAGTGAACTCTAGCTGCAGAAACTACAGATTACCCACAAAATACATCATACAAGTCAGCAAGGTCATGAAGTTCTTTAAAAAGATCCACTTCTGGCCAGGGATTTAGCTCAGTGGCATAAGCGCCTGCCTTGCAAAAAAAAAATCTACTTCTCTTCTAATCCCAGCACTCAGGAAGCTGAGGCAGGAGGATCACTGTGATTTGAGAGCAGCCTGGGCTACCTAGTGAGCTCAAGGCCAGCCTGAGCTACACAATGAGAGCCTGTCTCAAAAGACCAAATAAGATAAAATAACATCAATTCTATAGTCCTACCTCAAATCACGGTGATAGTTTTCTTTTTTTTTCTGGTACCACTGTTGAAATACAACTCTGTAAACAGAATGTGTGTGGCACTTTCCCTAGCCATGGCTCTGGGCGGCACTGGCCCACTTACCTTGAAGCCATGGCTCTGCACACCAGTGCCTCCGTGGGCTCCGACAGGCATGCAGGGAGCAGCAGTTCGGCGGGCTGCAGGCTGCACACCCGTGTCTCCAGCTCCGAGCGGGTCACGGTGTCCCGGAAACTGTCCAGCAGCACCTCCCCGGTGGCGGGCTGAACGGCCTGTACACAAACACAGTGAGGTGTCACGAGAGGTGTACCCGCCCGGGCACACAGTGGTACAGCTGACCCCACACACCACGCCCACCTGGTGCTTGCCCAGGCCAGACTCACGAGGAGCTGGAGATTTCCAGATGCCCCACACCTGCACCCTGCCCGTCCCCCATGTCCCAGGCCTCATGTTCCTGACGGGGTGAGGAGGAGATGTCAGCGAACCCTCCTGCACCTGCGCTTCCTCTACAGGAACGGAATAAACCTGCCACCTCCCCTTTGGGGCTGTCCTGATCATACAGTCGGGACACAAACACAGGAGGGGAGTGCAACTGCAAGGCCTGGCCAGTGGATGTGGCTACACAGGCAGTAACTGACACAGGGCTCCAACTTCACCCCAAGCCATCACCAAAGCCACCTCACTCACTATAGAGCGCTAACACATCAAGCTAATGTAAAAAGTATTTTTGCAAAAAATGAAATGACATATAATAAACTTGGAATGAAACCCAAGTAGACAGTCTCTCTGATGACGTAACCAGGACAACCAATAGCTGCCCACTGCCATGCCTGGTCAAGAAGTGCAAAGAAAGGGAGCAAGTTAAAGGGCTGCAAGAAGTTACCCAAGCCAGGTCCTGGGGCAGTGAAAGCCCAGGCACTAGGACAGAAAGCCGTCAGCCCAAGGACCAGATGACCCTCATGCTCTCTCCACTCCTGGGCGCACAGCAGGTACTCACCCCGAGGAAGGACAAATGCCCATGCTGTGCCCAGAGCCAACTGATACCAGTGTGTCCCAGAGGCAGCACAGCCAAGGACAGCAGAGGACACCCCGCCCGCAGCTCAGCAGGTCCTGCCCTGGCTCCATGCTGAGAACCTCGGATGGGGGCAGCACAGACCTTCAATGCTCACAGCAGCACTCATCACCAGCACAGGGAGGCCCAAGCACAGACCCTAAAATGCTACAGGACACAGTGACCATAGACTGCAGCAACACGGGACAAGGAATCTCAGGTGCAAAGAGAATGGGAAGCAGCAGAACTCAGAAGAATGTGCAGGCTTGCTGGCGTCTATATAGGAGTACATGTCCGGGCGGACACACATGTCCCCAAAGCTTAAGGCAGCAGAGCCAGCATGAAAGGAAAGGAAGATGTCGTCTCAAGAACCTGGATTACCGTCCCCTGTGATCCCAGGAAGGACTCAGGGGCCGCAGGCAGCCACAATCCTCACCCACCTTCCCTATGCACTTCGGCTTTATGCATTTTTCCGTGTGGATATATTTTTGCAAATCCCTTTATTTGTGGCTTGAGAAACTTCCTAAATTGTAGCCCTGGGTTTCCTCTAGAGACCACAGCAGCGGACCGGGTACCTTAGGACACACACCTAAGCTTATGCCGCAATCCACAACCAAGCCTCTACAAAAGTCATCTACAGATGTTCAAATAGCAATGGATCAGCCAGCCAAATTCCCTGTTGTGTCTTTACCAGAGAAACATCTCTATCATTCTACCTTCAACATCTGTTACACTGCAACAGACAAGAGCTGATCACATGCTTAAATTTTAAAAACTTAAAGATGTACTAATGCCCCTCAAAATCCTCACTCTTATTTTGAACTTTGTTTTCTTTCTCTTTGGGGGGGCCGTACCTCACACTTGCCAGGAAGGGTGCTTGTGCTGCTGAGCTAAATCCCCAGTCCACTCTGAACATCTTACCCTGTAGTCCTTGCCACCCTGCAGTGCTCTGCAGTCCTAGCTGCTGCCTTTAAGAAAGGCGATCAAAGTCTGGTGACCACCGCTGCCAAGCGCCGTCTAGTGGAAAGATAGCTCACAGCAACATGACCCTTAACATTCTGTAGTCACCAGATCTGCCACCAAGGTGACCCCTGCTCTTCAAAAGAGAAATAATTTGAATCAGTTCAGGACACTGAGGCAGCCAGGGCAGCACGACTAAAGAACCTCAGGAAAGAGCACTCCAGGGCTGCTGCAGAAGGTGGCAAGGACAATGGGTGGATGTGCTCGAAGCCAGGAAGATCCTGAGGGGATTCAAGGCAATGTGTCTCTTACTGTAACAATCACCGAATCTGTCTATGCCACTTCCCACACAGGACATGAAGAAGCCCAGACCCCAGGCACAGGGTTGCTCTGAAAGAACGCTCCCTTTACCTGCAGTCTGGCTGCCAGCACCCTAGTGCCTGGGCATGTGTGACGCTCCTCCTGGGAGGAACAGCAGGGAGGACCACACTGTGGGTAAAGGAAGGCAAGCACCACTTCGTTCCGAGTCAGGGAGTGACAGGGACCCATGTGGCCTGGTCCAGTGACCAGCCCAGCCCGGTGGGAACGAGCTCACAGAGACAGGCATACCTGACCCAGGCTCAGGGCGTCACCAGCCTGAAGGTAGCTACTGTGCCACGGCCCAAGACATCATGTACAGAGCAAAGGACAGTGTTCACTGTGCCATCGCCGCCCCACTTAGGGCAGCGGCTGTGTCTCAGTGCACTGTGCCTGCCCTGCTCTGCAGACTGAGCTTCTGGTAATCAAAAAGCAGCACCCTGTGGAAGCTGAGAGCAGGTAAGCTACTCTCTGCCGCCAGGCTCAGCTACCTGTGCCAGACGCAAGTGCTTTTCAAGGGACGAGAGCATGGGGAGCCATGCAGCACTGCTGCTCCCCGGGAGGACTCCCAGGGCGCCGAGCTGCGCAGCCTGGGGACGCCGGTAGGGGACAGCCGGGCAGGGAGGGTCCTTGCTAACACCTCCCCGACAGCAAAAAAGTAATAAGTACTAAGGAGTAATAAAATCCAAAATGTGTAAATTTTGTTGTAAAAAAGAGAGGGAAAAAAAAAAAATAAAAAGAGCTCTAACGGATATAACAGCAAGTGTGTTTAGGGGTGTTAAATAGCTGACTATATCAATGTTTTTGGATCATTGAACACAGCTGTTTGCAGTCTCCCTATTTGAATGTCCACCTTGTATTCTTTGATACTGTGATTTGAGCAACTATTTTTCAAGATGATAATATGTAATCTATTAACAGGTGATTTCTTACTGTTATGTTTTTTTTTTTTTTTTTTGTAGTTCTGTATTACGTGTACCCTCACACCGCTTTGTTTTGTTTTGCTTTTTTTCTCTTTTTCCTCTTAAATTTAAAAAAAAAAAAAAAAAAGGTAGGGGACAGCTACCCCCATTTACTTGGCTTCCAACAGCACACAGAAGTGTAATGGAACCGAAGTGTCCCACAAAGTCTGGGACTCTGAGCAGAGCCCCAGTAACCTGAGAATGGGCAAATCCCCCATAAAGTCCAGAAGGCGAAATTAGTTAAGCTGCGATTCCTGAGCTCTACCTATCAGAAGGCTAAATGTAAATAACCCTAGTATTAATTCAGCATGACACTTTCTATTGTCCAATGTCCCCTGGATTTCTCTTCCTCCAGCTCTACCAGGACAGTCCCGTAATGCTTCAAGTTTAGGCTTGAACCCTGAGAAGACACTGGGACGGTCTTTGCTACTCACATGCACCCTGACTTAGCATTTGCTTCTGCACCTTAGAACGTTCGTGGCTGTTACTGTGTCCACCTTCGACCCTGAAGTCCTAGTGCTCAGTAATCAGAACAGAAAAAGAACCAAACCAGCTGGGTTTTACCATAGCACGGAGTGCCAAGTGATGACTGGAAAAAACAAAACTAACGATCTAACGTGTGGTATCCTAGGGGAAATGTTCAGAGTCCATGGACATCTGTTGTGAGCTTTTCACCTGCCAAGTACCTACCACCAGGCCGATGAAAACGCTGCCCTTTCTCCTGTCCTTAATGCCTTCCTCGCCTTCGCAGATGCACAGGAGATACCCAGTAGAAGTGTCAGTCATTACCTCCTCCATGCTGACGGCATCATCCAGCTTGACCAGCGGGTTCACATGTGACAGTGGTTAAAGATGACCGCAACACAGACAGGCCCACGAGTGCCGCCCCTCTCCTCTACCACTTGGTGTACTGTCCCAGTACTTCCCAAGTGGCATTCGCTGTGACCACAGGCCTGTACCGTCCCATCCCTGAGCTACCAGGTCCAGATGACAGGTGGCAACAGTGTTCCCACCTGCAAAGCCCTCCCAGAGCTCACTGGACCTGGGGAGCCTCAGGACCAAACCAATTCTTTATTCTACTGATGCTGACACCTGACACTCAACATTCCCACACCCACTAATTCCACAAGTCAAAGCCTAAGAAATAACAAGAGAATTTTCTTACAACATAAGAAACACACACACACACACACACACACACACACACCCACGGCTGGGGATATAGCTCGGCAACATATATGTCCACCTGACAAGTATAAGGTCCTGAGTTTGATTCCTATGCCAACACACACACATACACATATCTGTGTGTGCATAGGTGTGTGCACATGTGTGTATAAACAGTCAGATCCTCAAGGACCCAAGCTGCCTCAGTCGAGCAGGTGAGTCTCGGTGCCAGCACCCCAGGTCTCAGGAGTAAGGAGCCCGAATGCAGCCAAGGCACACAAGGTGGGTGGGACTGCAGAAACAGGCTCCCAGGAAGAGGCCACACTCAACAAGAGACCAAAGGCAGTGACCAGCTGCTCAGCTTAGACCCACACAGGGCTGTGAGCGACTCGGGGTCCATCCCATGCCAGAAGCTGCACACTGCGGTGGCACTAACAGGACAGAGCAATGGGTAGGAGCTGAGCAGGTCACTAAAAAAGCCACTTCAAGATGACGAGAGTATTATCACCCTCACACAGGCCTTCCTTCACTGCATTCTTTTATCCTAACAGTCCTGACCATACCCTACAGTACACATTTTTAAATGCATTTAAAATTTGGACTAAAAAAGGGAGATTTATGTCATTCCTTTCAAGACTATCTTGCTTCAGGTGACACCTTGTTACTTTATGGGTGACACTTTGGGGCCACCGTGGGCACAATGAGCATGCTCCCACAGTGACAAAGCTTCCCCTACAATTCCCTCATTAAAAAGTGAAATTTCCACAAAGGTGACAGGGAATGAAGGTGGCCTAATGTGACACTGCACAAGCGTGGAACTGCATGCGAATTCCAGCTTTCCTGCCCCTCTTCACAGAAAGTAGGTTATGTTCTCATTCTCACCCCAGGAGACCTAGGGTGTTCCTGGGCCTCAATCCCACTATTGCCCAAGGGAAAGCACTAGTTCAGATCAGTGCCTGAGGGCTTATTTCCCCTCACTCCCAAAATTCCACGGCCTCTCCTCTCACTATGGCCGTGGCATCTGACAAGCGCTTGTTCTGTCCAGGGTTAAAGAAAGCATGCAACCTCACTCGTCCAACAGGTTCCTGCTCAAAGTACAATTTTTTAAAAAATATCTGTCATCTTAAAATGGCCCTGTCACATATAAGAGAAAAACTCCGCTGAAAAAGGATATCTTCCCCGATGAGCGTGGACTTCGTGTAGAGCGCGGTCAGCTTCCGGGCGAAGAGGGAGCCTCTGCTGTCACCGACCGCCTTCAGAGCCGCCGTTTCTGTCTGCTTCACGACCCCCACCTTCAACGGGGACAAGCAAGACCAGTGTCCAATCCAGTCATTTTAAACTTCATTCCAAAATGCCTACGGGTTACTACTGAGACACCTTGCGGGAATATCGTCACCCACAAAGTCCACAAGTAAGGTCAAGCCACGAGCACCAAACACATGGCAGCTGTGGATGGATCACCAAGGAGCCCTTGAGCTCCGAAATACTCCACCACAAAACCTAACAGAATTGCCGCTTGATTACTGTTGCACTGTGTGGCACTGTGTGGCCTCTGCACAGCGCTACACCCCTGGTCCTCTATTTATTTTTATTGTGACACAGGATCTTGCTGTGGGTCACTAAGCTGCCCAAACTGAGGGGCAGCCTGTAACGCTCATGCCTCAGCCTCCCAGAGTGCTATGTTATGGGTCTAAGAAAATGTGTTAAAGGCCATGATATGACACTGCTAATTATGATACTTTTGTTTCTCCAAAAAGCCAAATCCTAAAATCAATCAAAGGCTGCCTCCCACCTCACAAGGCCTATTTCCATTCCTGGCCCGGTCTGGTCCCAGATTACCGAGGGCCAGAGCCAGAGCTGACCTTGTAGCCCTTGGCCACAAGGCGGCGCACGTGCACGAAGAGCCTGTGCGTGGGGATGCTGGCCGTCATGAAGCTGTGGTCCAGGTGGCAGTAGATGTTGAGCTCCCGGGCAGCGACCTAGGCAGTTCCAAAGAAAGCGTCAGCTCACTCCTCCAGAGCCCCGATGCAGGTTCACTGAGCCCTCAGTCCTGGTGCACTTTTCTAACCATGCTGCACAGCGTTAGCACGTTCCCGCCAGTTGCACCGCCATAGCACCCTTGTGACTGTCCCATGTCTACCGCCAAGGGCACAGGTGCCCAATGAGACACAAATCATGGGACTGTGCTCCCCCACCCCACGAACATGTGACAGGCTGAGCTGCGTATGGGAGCCTGCTGTTCCTGTAGGTCTGGTGGCCTGGCTGCAGCACCAGCATCGAGGACACCACATTGGGTGTCTTCCCCCCATGTCTTGAAAGATCCCCAAACCTCAGAGTGCTGTGCCTCCCCATAACAGGGCTACTGAATCCAAACAGCATGCAGGGAACGGGGCAGAAATTCACTGTGCAAATAACTGACAATGAGGAGACTGCAGGGCGCTGGGACGGAGGCTGAGAAAGGAGGAGCAGACACCCCGGCCTGGTGAGCAGGCCAGTGACACACTTGACGGGGGATATCGGGAGTGCCCACCCAAGCCTCAGGCAGGAGGCCTGGGTCCCCACTGTGATCATGCCTGGACTCACTCCTCACCTGGACACCCCCGTCCCGGATGCCAAGCACACCCCTGTACCAGCCTCAGGACGCATCTTGAGCCACTGCGGCTCCCAGGATCTGACATGTAATACAGTGTGACACTGGCCCAGAGCATACACTACCCGTCCTGCCCCAAGACTTGGGAAACAGGAGGAAGTGAGAAGACTAAACCTTCACGTTCCCTCTGTGGGCAGGACACTGCCCACTCACCGGCCTCTGATGTCCTGTAAGGACAGCAAGGCTGCTCCACGAACAAGTTACCACCGTCCATGACATCCAACACAGGCATCACCAGCAACGCTTGCCCCAAGTTTGGCCACCAGTGTATGAACCCACTATCCACCAGCGAAGCCTCCAACCCCAGACACCCAGCTGACATAGAGAGCAGCACGAGTGATCATACGGGAGCAGGTGCATTCCACTGGGCCCTAACCATGACCCTGGCGGTGGAACTCAGCGAGTTAAAAACTTTCCTCCATCTCAGTCCTTCTGTGCTGAGTCCATTAACAAACACAGCACGAGGGGCTGGGGATTTAGCTCAGCGGCATAAGCACCTGCCTTGCAAGCAGGCAGTCGTGAGTTCAATCCCTGGTACTGATAAAAACGAAAAAGACAAAAAAAAAAAAAAAAAAAAAAAAAAACACAGCACGCTGGGGCACTGTGATTCATCCACCCATCAGCTGACCCAATCAAATTTTCTGGGTTTTGGGGGAGTTTTTTTAGTGGTAGCACTTCGGGTTGGACCCAGGGCCTTCTCACTGAGCTATATCCCCAGCCCTTTTTCTGTTTTCTGAGACAAGGTCTCACTAAGCTGCTAAGTTGTCCAGAATGGGCTCAAACTTCAGATCCTCCTGCCTCAGCCTTCAAGAGAGCTAGGGTAACAGCCGCGCCACCCCAGAGAATCAGCACTAACATTCCAATAGTCTTTTTTTCCTATGAGTCCAGCTACCACCAGATTTTCTGCTGTTTATTTTCAGTTTTTGCTTTAAATGGCACCATGTTTAAAGGGGATCGATAAGTGAGCTTTTTCACAAAGAAAATGAAACATGAACACTGAAAAATACCTAAGGGCAGGGGAAAGCCATGAAACAGAGCTTGGAAAAGCAGCTCACCTCTGCGTCTTCCCCGAAGAATCTATACTTGTATCCACACTCCACGCACAGGATCGCGTCGGGGTACTGCTCCTTCAGCTCCAGGTACTGCAGCTCCAGCGGCGTGTACACGCTCTTGGAGCGCTTGTTGACTGCTTTAGGGTCAGACGGCTTCTGGAAACTCTCAGGACGCCCTTGTGACGGCCCAAATTCACTGACCTGGTGACCAAAGGATTTGGGTCATTTTAAAAGTACTAACTAGACACTCAGTCCCTGAAGAATGGAAGCGCAAATGGGTAAAAGATGAACCCCTGGCCACTGTAGGCAAGGTCTCCTTGTTCCCCAAGGTATCTGTGGTTTGGGGTTTCTTAAAGTCAGAGCTGAGAAAAACTACCAGACAAAAGAAACTGTCACTTAGGAAAATCTGAAAGTACAACTACTTTAACAGTTTGCATACTTCCTTTTAAATCTGGTTCCACTGAATGTGTTATTGACATTTCCTTGGTTAACTCTGACTCCTGGTGAGTAATGCACAAGACCCAGGGAAACCACCTCCAGCAACGTCGGGGCCAGTACTCCTGTCCTCACCTCCCTGTATTTCACAGTGATGAAAACTGTGACTAATCCCAGTTTAGTTAGAGAAATCCCTCGCTTATTGGACTCAATTCAGACAAACCATCACTCTGTCACCGCCAATGTCTAAAACCTGACTGAGCCAGCCCTGAGTATCAGTCACTGTCTTGTTACTGGGATAAAAAGCCCAACACCTCGGCCGACAGGAGCCTATTTGAGCTCAGAGCTGTCAGAGGACTCAGCCCCCAGCAGATGGGTCTGGCAGAAGGAAAGGGGCTGAGTCAGTTGGCCAGGATCCTAACGAGAGGAGGAGCCAGGGACAGGAATCACCTTTCTAGGTCACAACCAGGGGCCAATGCAGCCAGATCCACCTCCCACAGCACAGGCAGCTACTGAGTCTCAGGTGGGCCAATCGCCTTCTACCCACCGGACGTTTGGGGCTGGGCATTTTAGTGTAAATCCTAATACCCTGACTGAAAGACGTGGTGATGAACTGAAGAGGAGAAGCACTGGGAAAATGGCCCAGGATGGGAGCTTCATTCCCTGAGAAAACCCAGAAAAATATGCACTTTGCATTTGCCGAACATTTAAAAGCTGCAGCTCGGCTGGGACAGCAGATAAAACCAGCAACTTTCCAAAGAGACCCAGCAAAGTTTCAAGGACCAGCAGGCAGAAGACAGCAAGGTGTGGATGGCTGTGGCCAGAGAAATGCACCAGGCCTGAGAGCCAGGTGTGGGTAATTCTGGTAGGCTTTTCTCTTCTGTTTCTATGGCTGTTACATAAAACCCAGGAGTACTACATACTATTGTAGCTTGGCATAACTGACGCCATCTTGAACCTTGTTTTTAACTAGTGCCCTGTATTTGACCCAGGAAAATGGAAAATTACTCAGAATATAAGTCCCATGAGAAAAGCAGAAGGAGCTGTACCCGCAGGAGAAACATTAACCTGCTCAACAAAGCAGCAGGATACAGGTGTCAGCCAAAAATTAATGTAAGAGTCTAGCTAAATTGTTTCCAAGAGGATGTCTTTTTGTGATTCTTTGTTTAAAAGCTTTGTAATTTTCCAGTTCAGGGCCACTCGGTGAGACTCTGAAATGGGTCCACTCTAGTGATCACTGAGCTCAGCTAATTAAATTCCAAATTTATCAATTTGGCTGCTTGGATTCCTATATTGTTAATGAACCAACTTCACACACTGTATAAGTTAATCAACATTTACAAAAATATACACAACAGAAAAAGATAATTTTTGTTTTTTATCTCATTTGCAGAATAAAGTAAGCTTCCGGAAAGAAAACAAAAACAAAAAAACCCAAAAAACTCATCTGTGGGGATACTAACCATAAATCAATTTGAATACTTGAATATTAAGCAATGTTTGCAAGTATTCAAGTGGAAATATTTCTCAGCTGTATTATCTTTCATATTCCCAGAGCTAGCACAGTAAACTTCTCTTAAATTTCTTTTTTCCCAAATCAGGATAATCAAGATAAATGGCAAAGTCTATCAAAAATTATGGCATTGCTAGTCCTGTATGAAAGGTCCTGAACCACTGGCCATTTAAGTTTATTTGGTAGCTTTTTACCATCTATCTGTCACCTTCTTGCCACTGAACAGCTTACATTTGTAGGAATGTCCCATATTGCTTCTGGGTAACTCTTCTACCTGATTACTTGTAATTTCCTGTACCAGATATAGCTCAGTGGCACAGCACCTGCCTGGCAAGGTCCTGAGTTCAATTGCTGGTATAAGAAAAAAAATAAGCAATTTCCTGTATCATAGAAATGCCACATCAAGCTATTTTAATATTCAAGTGTTCATATTGAGAACATTTAACCATTTAACATCTAACCATTTAATGGTTAGTCGCACATAGACGATTTTTTTTTTCCTGGAAGATAAGGTATACTATGGTAGCCATTTGGGATTATTATTATCTTATCTTGAAGTCCTATATCACTTGTACTGTTTTGTTTGATTTTAGTATGTCTTATGGTATAGGCAGCTATTTTGAAGATAATATGAAGCATTATGGTAACCATTGTTGATTTTCTATTATCTTGTTTTGAAGTCCTATATCATTCTCATTGTTTTGTTTGATTGACTTTATTCTGTTTCACTTTGTTTGGTTTTAGTCTCTTGAAAAAAAAAATGTTGTTGGGGATTTACCTCAGTGGCACAAGCACCTCCATGGCAAGAGCAAGGTCGAGTTCAATCCCCGTTACCAATAAAATAAAATGTTAATAAAGTGAGCTTTAATAAGACACCTTCTGCGCTGTATGACCACCACACCCAGATGAATCAGTTCCTAGTATTAAAGGAGATTAAAAGCAAAAACATTTCTTTTCCCCTAGTGATCTAAGAACTAACCTTAGCCTGGCTAAGAAAGGAATTCATGGATCTGGATTTTGTGGGAAAGGGTGTGAACTCTGGAAAATTACAAGCAAACTTTTGTTGGCTTGAGCAATTTTCTAAAGATAAATAGCTTTCACGAGAATGTCAATGACTCAAAAAAATGAATCTATATACCTAGAGATAAATAAAAAAACACATCTGAAATCACAGGTGTCTTCTATGGGCATACAGAAAGAGCTCTTAAGAAACAACTGTACCCGATTCTCAGTAAAGACCAAACAACATTCAGAGGGAAGGTTCTAAATACTGGTTTTTCAACTGTTTGGTTTTTCTGGTTTATTTTCACCAAGTGATTCTACTTTACATGTAAGGCTGCGAACTAATTTCAATTATAGTTTTCAACAGTAAAATTTCCTGATTGTACAGCCATAGAAACCATCAGTAAGTCACAAAGTAAAAAAGCAGAAGTAAGAGCTCGTAAGCAGGTGGCTTATCTTTGAGTTTGCTTTACACCTGTCAAGCACTCAACTGAAAACCTCAAAGGGTCTAAACATGCTGCCATGGGGATGTCCCGTACAAACCAAGGCACCTGACTGCTAAGGAGGATGGTAATAACCTTGTGCTTGTATTACTAACCCATGAAGCATCCCTAAGCCAAGCAGGACATCAAAATCCCCTAGAAATTTTCGTTTATTTATTATGAACCAATACATAATAAATTAAATTCCTTAATACATAATAAGTTAACATCTCCAAAGATTACAAGAACAAAACACAAAGATACAAAAGCTAGGGGGCTGGGGATTTAGCTCAGCGGCATAAGCGCCTGCCTTGCAAGCAGGCAGTCGTGAGTTCAATCCCCGGTACCGATAAAAAGGAAAAAGACCAAAAAAAAAAGCTAAATAGATGTCAGCTGAGTTTAGGAGCCAAAGCCCAGAGCGACCCAGACACCCAGAAGTATTTCAAACGCTTCCTCTGCAATTAGACATTCGTCTACATAGCAACTACATACCTTTTGATCACTTTTCGATTTGGAATCTTCGGAGCAAATGGCATTTTTTGCACGCTGAAGACTGATGTCCTCAAAATCAGTACATTTTGGTAGAACTGCAAATCCCCCCTGACGAGGTTCTGTCTGGACTCTATTTTGAGGGAGGGCAGAATCACAGCAGAATTCTTTCAGTTTTTCCAAAGACTGTAAAGCAATCCTGGTCCTCAGACATCGCTTTGGTTCTTAGGAAACAAATGAGAAGAAAACATAGCGAGTGTACTCTGGCCCCCTGTGTCAGCTCACAGCCTGCATAGGACTGTTTAAAGAGGGAGAGCCCCATTTAACTCATGGGCCCACAGAGGGGATAAAGAAAGATCACTGGCTTCTCTGTACAGATGACCTACTGAGACATCTGTATAATTTCACTCACTACTGAAGCCTTCACCAGACCTACAGGAAAATTTTGCTTCTGTTGGTTTCTAGATATAAGGACGAACAGGACAGGAAAGGTGACAAAAATAAATAAAATACCTGGAGCAAAAAAGGCAAATGAATGACCAGTTCAGCTAAATGCCGAGTCAGTAATTAAGAAAACCCAGGGCAAACCCTACTGAAGAGACTCTGTATCAGAGCACAGTACTCAGGCAATGGAACGAAAGGCAGTTCTAAAATACAGAGCAGTGGCTCAAAGCAGTTTCATTCCTAGCTTTTCTTCACCTGGGCAGCAGACTGGAGCTTTCCCTGGAAGGGGACACTGGAAATGCAGCTCACATGGACACCGAGACCCAAGCCCAGACCATAAAGCTCCCTACTCTGGCACGGTTACCCAGGGAAGTTTTTCATGTTGACCCTTAAACCAAACTTAAACTTTCATGCAAAAATAGGTACCTCACATGTTTGTCTCCAGTGGGCGGGTATGGCCACTGAACTGTTAATTGTTTACTTGTGCATTTATCTGGGCTCCCAACTCTGGGGACTCCTACCTCCTCTTATTACAGATTCTCTGAGACCCAAAACTAGGGAAAATCTGCTCTACTATCTCCACCCAACACCAGCTCTGAAAGTTCAGGAGGTCAGGAACGCTGCTGTTTTCCAATGTTGCGTGTGTGTGTGTGTACGCACATGTATGCATGTTATCAGAGGAGCTATCGAGACGGCGCCCAGGCCTCACAGGTGCTGGGCAAGTGCCTTCCACTGAGCCACCCCACCAGCCCTCAGTGCCTTTGAAAACAGCTTTGTGCAAAACAGAAGGCAGTGCTACGTGACCCAGCATGGAGGCCGTTAGCATGTTCTGCTAAGTAGAGAAGGAAAGCTGCAGATTAGCATATACAGAATAATGTACCCTGGGCCGGGCACTGGTGGTGCACTGCTGTAATCCCAGCACTCGGGAAGCCGAGGCAGGAGCATCACTGCAGGTTTGAAGCCAGTCTGGCCTCAACAATATAGTAAAACTCAGTTTCAGACAAAAAGAAAAAAAAAATGCACCCTGTAAAATACAATAATCTGCTCATTTGTAGGTTGATGTGTGTGCCACACATATGGGAATGAAGGAGAAAATTTGGATGAACACGGTGTGGCTCAAACAGCAAGCAGCACCTCCCTGAAAGAGAAGCCTGTGAGGCCTTCCAAATCTCTGCTACTTGACACTTTTCTATCAAGAATGTTTCATTTTTGTAACATGGCTCCTGTGAATAAGTCGGGAGAGCTCCACTGTCCCCACCTCCCACCTCCCCAGAGCTCAGGCAGGGGGCCACTTGGTCCCTGAAGGAAAAAGTGCTGTGCTTGGAGCCCTCTCCAACCACTGGAACCCAAGGCCCTGGGGAGCCTTCTGTGGCACCACTCAGCACTCACCGGCCTCAACAGATGGCGCCAGGCCCCCTCCGCCTTCCTGTTCCTGGGTTTTCCTCACTTTCTTAACAGGCAGGGCACTCTCCGCTGGTCTCCTCTTTCTTCTGTCAGGTTTTGCAGCCTGTATCGGAAGATCAGAGAGCAGAGATGATATCTCTGCTGGGAAGACTTGATGTATAGGAAGTAAGTGAAACCTCAGTTCTGAATGATGTGGAGTGCGTTGCCATCCAACCACCACAGAGGGCGCTACAGTGCTTTTAGCTCTGAAAATGCCTTTGGTTAAGAAGGAAACCAGTACTTGTGAGCCTCAGCAACTCAGGTCCTGCTAGAATTTTGCGAAAGATGGCCTCGTAACTTTCCTTACTTCCTTTACTGCCTCCACACACCTCGAAGCATAAAACTTGAATCACAGCCCCTGTGTGGTGGGGAACACCTTTATCCCAGCATTCTGGGAGGCTGAGGCAGAAAGACTGAAAGTGCATGCCCAGACTGGAGAATTTAGTAATTTATGAGATTTTGTCTCAAAATAACAAATACAAAGGGGTGGTGGATGTGGTTCCGTGCGAAGGCCCTGGATTCAATCCTCAGTACTGAAAAATAAAATGCAGCACTCTTCTTTTATGTGCTAAATAAAATATTTCTAACAAATAAATATCTACTTGCTGAAGGCAAAATTAGAAAAGGTAGGTAACAATCGAATAATGTCATCTCCGAAGTGTGGTAACACGGCCATCCCCTGTTTTAGATAGCTTATGTTCACTACTGAAGATGCTACAAGATGACGGCTATTAGTTGGCAGGAAACCTGACGAAACTGAAGTCCCCTCACCAAACAGCATGGAGACGGTGAATGTAAAAATCAAATCTTTGTGAATTCTTTTTGTGAGATCTTTGTGAATACAGGTCACACTCAAAAAACCACCCAAAAAGACAGCGGAGGCGCAATTATAGGGGAAGACACCAGTGAAGCGGGTATTTTGAAGCTGTCTCGCAGGCCCTGCACTCGCATGGGCGGCTGTCAGTCGGGATGCTCGCCCTGACCCCTCAGCCTGAGCCACAGACCACAGTCGGCGCCCACCTCGGGCCTTCGATGCAGCAATATACTCCATCTGGTTTACAAAATGTTTTCACCACTTGTTTATTCTGGGGGGTCGAAGATAGAGCTCAGCAGCACAGTGCCTGCCTGGCAAGCGCGAAATCATGAGTTTGATCCCCGGTACCAAAGGGAAAAAAGTTTATTCTGCAGAAGGGTGGTGCAACAGAAAGTACTCAGTGGCCGAGCATTCTCTCACAGCTAATCTTCACCCACTCTAACCCAATGCCACGTTTCGGGCGCGCAGGAGTCAGGGTCCGCCCACTGTCCCAGCAACGCTGGACACATCGCTACCTATTAACAAGCACAGCTCCTTTTTCTCCGCCCGCTAGGGAAAAGGATCATGCTGGCGGTTTAAAAACTCGTCCCTTGCCGCTAGCCCCGTCCAGCCAGCAGAACGCTAGCTGCCTGCTCAGATCTGCCATAGCAACCAGGTAACCTGGCCCCCAGCGCCCAGGTTTCCTCCCCTTCTGCCCCGCCCTTCTCCCTCCTCTGCCCAGCCCTACTTTCCCACGGAGCCCAGCATCGCGCGGGTTCACCCGCGAGGTCCCGCCTCCCGCCCTTAGACCCCGCCCACAACCCCGCCCCTCCAGGGAACCCACTTGAGGCGGCGCTGACGCAGCGGGTGCGGTGGACGCAGGGGGCGCTGTGGAGGCAGGGTCCGCTTGGTCGGCGGCGCTGGTCGGGGATGAGGTAGCTTTCAGGCTTCCCGCCGGCTGGAAGAACCGGCTCAAAACGGCTTGCCTCCCTGGTGTCGGGCCTGCAGTAGTCACACCGCCTGACGCCGGCTTGCGGCGCGGCATCGCGGGGCGGGTGGGGGGAGGGGTGGCTGGCGGGAGCGCGATTGCCCGTAAGTGTGCAGGCGCGAGCACGCCGGGATTTCGCGATCGAAGGACGGGCGAGGGCCTGCTTCTAAGCCAATGGGGCTGAGGGGCGTGGTAGCACCTACACCAATAGAAATCGAGAGGGCAGGGCCGCGCCTGCTCCAATGGGCTCGAGGGCGGGGCTGCGCCTGCTCCAATGGCGCGGAGGGGCGGTGCGGCCATGGTTTGGCGCCAAACTCTCACCACCCAGGGTCTTCCTGAGCCAGTTTGCAGCACGCCACCGTCATGGTTCGCCCTCTGAACTGTATCGTCGCCGTGTCACAGAACATGGGCATCGGCAAGAACGGGGACTTGCCCTGGCCCCCGCTCAGGTACCTGCAGGGTCGGTGGGGTTGGGGGACAAGGTCCGACCTGCAGTAGCTGGGGTAGGGGCGACTGCGCTGACGTCCGGGTCCCCAGGGCGACCCCAGGTGCCGTGTCGCGGTCCCCAGGACGACCCTGGGCGCTGACTCTGTCCCGATCCCAAGCCCAGCCTGGCCTGGGCCCCTGGGCTCCCCGGCCACAGTAAAATCTGAGCGTTGGGCCACCGCTCAGGAGAGCCCTGCTGAGTGACGTCATCTCTGCCTTGCAGGAATGAATTCGGGTATTTCCAGAGGATGACCACGACCCCCTCTGTGGAAGGTAAGGTGGGTTCTTCAGCGCACGTTTCGTGGAAGTTCTCCCATGCTACCTCGGGATCTTTTTTCTTACCAGCAATTTGGGTGCAGTTCCCAAAGTTTATCAAATTTTTGCTTTTAATTTACACTTTTAAAAACTTTTTGGCAGCTAAGTAGAACCTGAGGGCCCTTGGGATGGAACCCAGAGGAAGTCTTTTGGTGTTTTGGGTTTCTTGAGAACTAGGTCTCGGTATGTAGCCCAGGCTGGTGTCAGACTTGGTCTCCCATCTTCCTGCTTCAGCCTCCTGGGTACTAGTGAAATGAGGAATGAAACTCAACATGCTAAATGTCAGGTGTGAGTTTGTGTTTTAAAATTGAAAAATGAATTTTAGGAATAACGAAGTTTAAGAGCAGAATATGTTTATTGAGAGAAAGAAAGCTTCAGTCAGAGAGACAGAAAGGGTCCTGGGCAGGTTGCCGAAGACTCTGTCTTTTCTAGGGACTTTATTAGAGTAAAACCACAAGGTGAGACAGATCCAAGATGAGAGGAAATGGGAATTCATGAGGCAGAGGGCATGAGGTGGGACAGAACTGTGGTCAACCAATAAGATGAAATGTTCAGGTGAAATGGAATAAATCATTAACAAATGGGGAAGGGAGTCAGGTAGCAAGCAGACATGCTTAAAGAGCAGTGACTCTTCCCTTAGAGGGTTGGGATGGTGGCTCCTGGCTTCCTCAGGGTGATTGCGGCATGTGTAGAATATCATCAGTCTTTAAAATGTGGGTGTATTTGTGCAATCTTTTGTCTTAAGGCCTATCCCACAGCAGGAAGGGTCTGTCTCCCCCACACTTGCAAGGTATCCGGTCTTCTGCACTAGTTCCTTTGAGCACCCAGCCCTGTCTGACTGCCTATTATATTTTTACCTAACTCAGTTGCCTGTAACACTAAGATTGCAGCCTATACCATTGGACCAAGAGTGGGTCTTAGAATAGCTGCAGCAGCCATACCTTACAGAGCCTGAATTGGGGCCACAAGGAAGGGAAGATTAAAACCTTTTTTTTTTATTTTTGGTACCGGGGATCAAACTCACGACCTCACACTTGCCAGGCAGGCACTTATGCCAGTGAGCTAAATCCCTGGCCCAGAACTTTCTAAAACAATTTTTACAGTGCTAGATGTTGGATATCTGGAGAAAATGGTGAGAATCATGAGTTGTAACAGTTGTAATGAGCCAAATGTTCACTAGAGAAAAGAATAAAACCTAAGCAACATCTGCTTAGTAAAAGCTAAAGAGCTGATACAACCACTGGCAGGTCCTGAATGTGGGCAGGTAATTTACCTTTGACATGGATGTCTTTTTTTGTTTTGGTTTTGGTTTTTGGTTCCAGGGATCAAACACATGACCTCACACTTGCCAGGCAGGCACTTATGCCACTGAACGAAATCCCAGGCCCTGCCACAGATTTTTTTTTTTTTTTTGGTCTTTTTGAGACGGAGTCTTACTACATATTTCAAGATGATCTTGAACTCACTTTGTAGCCTAGGCTGGTCTCGAATTCTCAACAGTCCTCCTGCCTCAGCCTAAAACAGAGTTAACAAGACTTAGCTAGTGGATGACAGATTGCATTCAATTTTAACCTGGACTCTTTACTACATTATCCATGTTGCAGCTGATTCAAGGTAAATATTTGTTATAAATTGGGCAAATTCAAAGAGAAAAATAGATACTATATTTAGGTAACAGGTGATAAATGTGAATTATGATAAAGCTGTTTAGAGATTCTTTGGTGGTGGTTTTGCAGTACTGGGTATGAAACCTAGAGTTTGCATGCTGAGCAGGTCCACCCCTGGGGTACATACATCCCCTCCCCTGGTTTTCCCTTTTTAAAGAAAATCCACTAGATGGCACCAGAACAATCTTGTCTATGCATATACATGTGGTGGATGTGAAAATGCACGTATACTCCTCAAAATGAGCTTACCATTTCTGTGTAATTTTATAGGTAAACAGAATCTGGTGATCATGGGTAGGAAGACCTGGTTCTCCCTTCCTGAGAAGAGTCGACCTTTGAAAGACAGAATTAATGTAGTACTAAGTAGAGAACTCAAGTAAGTACCATAAATATGAACTGTTCACAACAAAATCGTGTCCCATTACTTAGTGTACAGAGCAGTAATAGTATAAAAGTAGCATTATCAAAGCTGCTTAATATCACAAATGTGATCACAGAAAATGAACAAGTGACAGTTTATTCTGCCACTTAGCTGATTGATGATATCACTTTGACTGTTACATTAAATCTCACTAGGTAACAGTTTTTTAAAAGAGGGGTAGGCTTAAAGTTACACATTGTAATCATTTTCTTTTTTCCTGTTAACTGTAACATGCAGATAATGCTTTGTCCTGGTATGTGCTACCAAAATCCTCAGAGGAGACTGTCTAAAGCTGACTCTGCTAAGAATTTTCTTGTCATCCAGACTCACACAAATCTAGTTCCTGCTGCCTAGAAGAGCCTCAGGGACTGGGGTGGGGGATCATCTTGCCTGTGAAGCCAGCGCCGGCACTTTGACTTTAACCATGGCTTTGACATCATTCACTTTGTTCTGTGGAACCCTTATTTCCACTTGCTTTTGTTCTTGTTTACGCTGACATTGGCCATAACCTATCAGAATAAATTCTAATGGTTTGGCTTGGTTACGAGAGTGGAATAGGGTGGGCAGAATTAACCCTGCAGGGACATTGGCGAGCACACTTCCTTGTGTGCATTGGTGAAGTGATCACCCCAAAAATGCAGCATCCTCAGCTGTTTCCACAGGGCAGGGGTCGTAGCATTCCTTTCAAATGCATATGGGTCAGGGTCCAAGCAGAAAGGCAGACTCAGTAGAAGACAGAGCTGCAGAAGTTTCATTGCCAGGAGTCAATTCACCGTTGGGGATCTGCCTGAGAGTGCAGAAACCTCTGCACAGGCTGTGAGGAAGGGCAGGCAGAGGTCTCCAGCGGGGCTAAGGCTGCATCTCCCAGGGGGCCACAGCCCTGCTCTTAGCGCCCTTCAGCTGGAAAAGAGTGAATAATCCGCATCACCTCTTGAGCAGTCAGTGTCAGAACTGCTAGGCCAAGGGCAGTTGTATAATCCCTAAACACCAGGCTAAGTAGTGGACAGTGAATTGTAATTTCTCTTCTGCATCTAATTACTCGAAGGCCTAGTTCTGCAGATTCCTTATTTATACAGGGTGGTGTGCCGCCCTGGGGGAGGTTGAGAGACATCAAGTTTGCTGACACATCAGTGAAATTATTTAACTTTTTTCCTTTGTACTTATAATTACATAATCAGTAATACTCATGTTTAAATGCTTAACTCATATTCAAAACATGAAAGTTTGAATATCATGCCAGACTTTCTACAGTCATTTAGATATTCTTTCTAATATCATATTGTGAAAATTTTCCAACACAGAAATAACCACATTAAACAGCTGTATATCTCCCACTTCCACGCTCCCAAGAACTCCAACATATGTCTGTCCAGTAGCCACACGTGGCTGTGTATGCATTTCAAGACTAGTGGCAGTGTGTTTTCTCCATGATTCCATGCCTGTCATTAACAAGAGTCTAGTACTTCTCTCACTTTTTGGGGGGTAAATATTATAGACAGTGAGGAAAGTAAGTTGTGATTATCCACTTGCTAAGTTTTGCCAGTAGTTATACCTGTGCTCCCAAAACCTATCAAGGACAGGCTATCCTGGAAACCCCATAATGCTCCCTAGGCCCTACCCAGGTAGTCTTTACACCTTCACGGCAGACACAGCAATCCTTCTGGTGTTTTTCTACCACAAGGTGGCACACATGGTTTTGGTTTTTGGTGTACATATACCATATTTTAGAGGCATAAACACAGGCCAGATATCGTGAGCTGTACTGAGGCTGAGGGTGAATTGTCAGAAGGGTTTACCTGCGCAATTTTAGTTTCATGATCACTACTTTATACTCGGATTATTTGACTAGCACTTGTAGGTTTACAGAAATATGATTTTTTTTTTTTCTACTCAGGGAACCTCCCCAAGGAGCCCATTTTCTTGCCCCTAGTCTGGACGATGCCTTGAAGCTGATTGAACAGCCAGGATTAGCGAATGAAGTGGACATGGTGTGGATTGTGGGGGGCAGCTCTGTTTACAAGGTGGGTGCAGCTGCCTGGGACAGGAGGGTGTGCTCTTCCCGCTTCCTCTCACTCCGCGCTGTCTGTGTGGACAGTAGGTGGGCAGTGCGGAGCCCGTAGTGTGGAATTTAAAGCAGTGAAGCCCTGAGTGTAGGAAGCAGCAGCTCCTTGTCTGAGGCTGAGTAGTAGTGTTTGATAGGTACTAGCGTGCAAAGTATTTGAAAATACAGATGTGTGTTTTTCAGTCTTTGCTTATCTGTCTTATTTTGTTTACTATGTTGCATATATTTGAATTATATGTGATGGAATTATTACATCCACCCACATAACATGTGTATTGTGTCAGTTTTTGTTTTTTTAATTTTTTTTATTGGTACCAGGGATCGAACTCATGACAACACGCTTGCAAGGCAGGCAGGCACTTATGCCACTGAGCTAAATCCCCAGCTCCTTACATCAGTTTTTGTGCAGTTTAAGGCACCAGGTGACATTTGTTGATGTTCACAGTTGAAAGCCACACTGAATCTCTTGCTGGGAACCACACCGTTTTGCACCCCGGGATGTGCCCGGTGGATGCTGTTAGCCCTGCCCCGGAGGGTCAGCGTGGCTGAGTGAGAAGGGGCAGGCTCCCAGCTGATAGCACAGATGTGTGTGTGACTCTGTTAACAGCAGAAAGCTTTTCCTCATCAATCGTCGCATAGTGTGGGGGCTGAGGAGAAGTGTTCTGTGACTGCGTATCATCTGGGAATCTAGTGTGACAAAGCGAAAATACACCTTTTTCCTGATACAAAATGACTTACAGAGTTTTAAAATTTTGAGGATAAATATGGAATACTTTGAATTTTAAAATAGTACTGAAAGTTAACATTTATGGGGAAGAAGAAAATCAGCCTTTGGACGAGGGAAACACATACACAGAAATCATTGGAGAAAGACACAGTATGCAGGATCCCGGCGGCTTGTGAAACTTCTCAGGCCCTTTTTTTTTTTTTTTTTTTTTGTCTTTCTCCTTTTTATGGGTACCAGGGATTGAACTCGCGACTGCCTGCTTCCAAGGCAGGCGCTTATGCCACTGAGCTAAATGTCCAGCCCCCTTCAGGCCCTTTTTCTGCAAACTCCGACTTTCCTCCTTCATAATGGGCAGAACAGAGACATTTTCTCTAATCTTTTCATCCAACTGTAAATTTCTTCTTGAAAAGAATTTCTTTGCTTTGTTCAGTCCTTTTGGAACGGGTCTGGGCTGCATTCACTTGAAAGTGAATTCTGTGAACACTAAGTTCCCAGCTGCACCCACATCATCTGGTTCAGGGGCACACAGTGCAAGCAGCAGGGAACAGAGTGTCAGTGACAGCCCTGCCTCCCGTCACCTGTGCCCAGGGTTCAGCCTGACCTCCTGAGGGCTGCGTGGAGGGGTGTGGTGCACACTGCCACGCTCATGTACATCACGCTGTCTGCGGAGCTCTTGCCTTCCAGAGGGAGGGCCAAGGGCCTCCAACCCTGGTGTTGTTACTCTCTGGGTCTTCCCGGAAGCACGCCTGCACTGGCAGCCCTGGGGCAGAGCTCGCCTGCTATAAACTCAGCTGATGAGACTAAACTCTCAGGGTTTCTGTCATCTGACTCAGATTAAGGAAGCTGGCGCCTTTTGCTTTGTTTCAAAGGAAGCCATGGAACGGCCAGGCCACATCAAACTGTTTGTGACAAGAATCATGCAGGAATTTGAAAGTGACACATTTTTCCCAGAAATCGATTTGAAGAAATACAGGCTCCTCCCAGAGTAAGTACAGAGTTTGTCAGTCTGAAGTGCATTCGGGTTTCCCACTTAGGAATTACAGAAGCACTCTCTTGCTTCGCAGGGTAACTGGGTGACATTGAGATGAGGGGACCTCCATCTCAGTAGCTCGGGCGCCATAGGGTTTTAAGGGCTGTGGCATAGAAGGTCAGGCATGCCTGCTGCTCCAGGGCTTCTGTGCACCTCTGCTGGGGCAGGGGAGGGACTGGCAGGTCACAGGCAGACAGCAGCAAACCGCTGCACAGAGCACTGAAGCACTGTGGTGTGGGAAGTCCTCTCTGAAGCCAGACCTTTCGAGAGCTCTAGCAGCAGGAGGCCAGCAGAGCAGTAGCAGGAAGGACGAAGGACGCCTGGGAAACAGAAACCGGAGGCCAGGGAACCAAAGGCCAGTGTGAGACAGTCAGGGGTAGGTCCGGTGCAGGTTGTGAGGCTCCTGAAGAGGGCGCCATCACCCTAGCTGCTTTAAGGGGAACGGACCATTGAGGGAGAGAAGGGAGAAGGGTCAGGAGGATGAGGAGTCTGGCGGGAAGCTGGCCGAGGTGCTGCACCCATGCAGTCTCAACACTCTGGAGGCTGAGGCAGGAGGACTCTCAGTTCAAGTCCATGGCACCCTGTCTCAAAATCCCCATGGGCTGACACTATAGTAGTGAGCTGGGAGCCTGCTGGCTGTGGTAGTTGAGGTGAAAGTCAAGGGACTTAGGTTGGGGAGTCAGGCCAGTGGGGTGAAAGGAGCCCCACTTGTGCCGCCTGGTTGTGAAGTGCCTAACATTTTAGTTACATTTTCTTTGTCTACCCGATGCAGAGAAAAGATGAATTAAGTGAATGCTTTCGGGCCAGCCCTTAGCCCTCCTTTCCCACAGCCTTGTGTGGGGCCTGTCAGTCAGCACTGGAGTATGCATTTGTGTTGGGAACGTGCCAGAAGGGGCATCAGGAGCCCTGGTGCATGAGGGCGGCCGGGCTTTGGAGCAAGCATCTGTCGGGCTGCTGGTCATCAGGGGATGTAGGGGACACAAGATCTTGGGCTCTGGATTCTAAACAAAGCCAAGTAGATTCAGAGCTCCAGTGCTCGGGCCGGGAGGGCTACGTGGACAGCTCCCGCTGGACAGCTTTGTGCATTCATCCTGTGCTCTGCTGCCCTGCCTTCTGCATTTGCTGGTGCTCACAGGGGCGAGCATTGACCTCTCTCCACCGTAAAGGGCGAGGAAGAGATTTATGCCTTTCGGATGAAGCAGCAGGGAGTTTGTGTCCCATGGGTGCGTATTTAATCCTCTGACTGTTTGGGGGGTTTTGTTTCCTCACAGGTACCCAGGTGTGCCTTCTGAGATCCAGGAGGAGAAGGGCATCAAGTACAAATTTGAAGTCTATGAAAAGAACGATTAACATGAAGGTGTATGCTGATTTATTTCGAGTTTTTTCCCTTCTTCCTAAAAAATATTCTATATTTATAGATTAGGAAAAAGACTTGTTCTGATTGTTCATCTCTGGATAATTTTTTTATGAATAGATACCATTTAAAAGGTATTTCTTTTGGAAAAAAAAAGTTAGATTTTTGGTTTTGACTGACCACAACGGAGGCCCAGCACCTGCTCAGGTGCTGTGGGAGCACATCTGTGGGAAAATCCAAACTGGAGGAGTCCCGCAAAGGTGTCCTGCTCAGGGAAGGACCCAGGGAGACAGGAGCGAGACAGCTTAGTCCAAGGGAGAGAAGTAGATTCTAGACAAAGTGGCTCAAACTCACTTTTAGAAGAAAATCAGGTCAAAGCGTGAACTGGGAAGATTCCGTGCATTCCACCCTTCTGAGCAAAGTTCTGCTCACTGAGACGGAAAATGAGTGTTCCACAATGCAGCGTGCTCCACGGCGGCGGCAGAGAAGCTGGAAATAGGTTCGAGGTTTCCTAGGAGGAGCCTGAGACCTCAGATTTCTACTTCTGATTTTCAGAGGGCTTTGGCAGACACTGCAATGACAGAGCATGCAGACCGCTCTTTCAGATGAAAAAGCAGTCACAAGTATAATGCCTGACAATAAAAATAGACTATATTGAGACTGGTTACCACTAGAAACCAAAATTAGTACCTTAGAAACTGAATTTCACAAAATTAATAAAAAGACGTTACAGGTCATGCAAAGATTTGTATTATTGGATATACAAAAAATACAGCATCTTCTGCCTTGTAAACTGATGAAACCCTTTTAGAATGTAAGTATCAATTTGAAATGCAAGATATTCTGGGTTTGGACCTTAGTCTTAACTTTTAAAAGTTATTGTGAACAAAAGCACAGACCCAAAAATATTTACAGCATTTTCTTTTAAATTTGGGAAGAGCCCATATGTCAGTAAAGATAGGAGTAACCAGTATGTCAATAAAATGTAATATTCTCCATCAGCTAAAAGTAATAAGGCACTAACAGAGAAATGCCAAAGACTTTACAAATTGTGTCTAATACCCAGGCTTTCTATTATGAATGTCCTGGGCAAAAGTCCTATGCAAAGAGCCAACCTTACCAGAGTTGGTGTGATTTGGTTTGGGGCATATCTGCTGTGGTTAGGGCTTTGGGAAACATGCATGTTCTCATGAAAAATTAGCTGAGATAATAATTGAGCCCTGCTGGGCATGGTGGTGCACTCCTGTAATCCAGCACTCAGGAGGCTGAGACAAGTACATCATTGCAAGTTCGAGAGCAGCCTGGGCTATAAAGTGAGCCTAAGGCCAGCCTCAACTGCATAGTGAGACCCTGTCTTGAAAAGAAAAAAAAAAAAAAAAAAAAAAATTGAGCCCTTTATGCTCCTCAGTACCGTAAAGATCCAGAACATCAGGAGCAAAATGCGGTTCCCTAAAGCCTCCCTAAAGGGAAGATGAACGGAGTCGCTACTGCTGCATAACAGTCACAGGCCATGAGGAAACTGCTCTGTCAGGAATGGTCCCTGGAGACTGTTAGCGCCCCAGGCTCACTGAACTTGGATACCGATGTAAGCTGCAGGCCACACAGGCAATAAGGAGCCCAGCAACCAGTAAGCGAAGCTGTGTCCTCCCATTGGTAAGGCGCTCACCTGAGGTCCCAGCACCTGGCAGGTGGAGGCTGGAGGACTCAAAGTCTGACCGCAGGGAGACCTCGTCTTAAGATAAAGAGGACTGGAGCTGTAGCTCAGTGCCAAGACCTGGCTTCATCCCTCAGAACGGGGGGTGGGGTGGGGAGTAGCATGCGTGTCCATGCCCATCACATGTGGAGTTCTTAGTGGGGTTGGCACCCTCAGACTTAAATGTTGACACTACTAAGAATGAAGATGCAGGGCCAGGGATTTAGCTCACTGGCATAAGTGCCTGCTTGGCAAGTGCAAGGTCATGAGTTCGATCCCTGGGACCGGAAAAAAAAGAAGATGCACAAGCACTTAACTCAGCATAGCACTGTGGGTAAGTCCTGAAAAACCTGCATTGGATAGTGAGAAACCAAAGTGACCTGCAAATCCAGGGACAGGAAGATGAGGGTACTACTGTGTTAGACAAATTCCCCCACAGCAGGCCCTGAAACTCAAGTAGACTGTGTAGACAAAACAGCCAGTGCAAGGTCAATGAGCAGATTCCTGTTGGCTCCCGAGCAAGATTCCAGGAGAGCAGGGTGGGCGGGGCCTCCTGATCTTAGCCCCGCCCTTCTGTGTGTGTGTGTGGGCCCAAGACTCCCGCTGCTGGGTAGAAGCTCAGGTATTGACAAAAGCCCTTGGCATGCACAGGAACAATAGCAAGCACACAATCCCATGTGTTTATGATTGTGAGACCTTCATACTTTCTATGTAGTCCAAAAGTATAAAGTCACGTGATTGGCTTGAAAAATTTTGTGCCTTGGAAAAAAAAAGGAACATGGAGACCAATTAGAGGTCAGAACGGTTTCAAGCTACTTTAGGTACTTGGTAAAGGGGGCTACAGAAAGGTTTTTCAAGTGCAAAAAATAACAGAAACAAACACTGGGAAGATACTTGCCATAGGGAGGGGGTGCACTTGGGCGGCTCCTTAAACACAGAGCACTGTGTTACATGCCAGTCTGGCATGTAATCTGCCCCGTCTCCAGGTACTGATTCGCACAGAGCTATCCCAGCCATTTCCCTTTCCCCTCCATTGGCCCTGAGTAAATGGGGCTGGCTGAGGAGCTGATGCCTAATCCTTGAAGCCAGGTAACAGTCGCTGTTTCCCGCCTCAGTGTCCCCCTGAGCATGGTTGAGTAGGGCAGAATGCCGAGCCCCTGCTTCAGGGCTGTCATTTGGGTTCCTGCCCCAAGATGAGAGGCTGTGACTTCCCGGGGCAGAAAAAGATTGCACATCAGAGGCAAAGCACTGGCCCCCAAAACCTTAAATGCTACCTCAGCTGTGCTATGCAGGCTGGTCTTTCTGTATGTCTTTCTCTCTGCATGCTGCCGAGGTGCTTTCGGGCTTCCCAGCCAGCCCAGCTCACAGCACGCTCATGATTCCCGCCACCCACACTGTCACTTGTCCTCAAGCCCCTCCCTTTCGGACTAATAAAATTGGGGTAGGCCCTGGCCTTTGTTCCACTAAACCATCATCCAGGCCCCCTTCAGGGCCCCTCGACCTTTCTCAAACCCACATGTTTTAGTGTCTTTATTCTCACCATGAGTTGCCCTGGAAGTGGTAGAGTGGAATTAGCTCGCTGGAATTCCAATAATTTTTCCATGGGATTACAAATATAAACTTCCCAGATGGTCACGAGAATGGGAACTGGACCTCTAATAGTAACAGTGCTTCAGAACAGCTATTTATACAGTTAGAAAGTTGGGGAGTAGGATGGAAGACCCATCCAGCTTTTCCTCAGCAGAAATCTCCATGACTTTGAAGCAATGCTGGAGCCCAACCGGCTTAATCGCCAGAGTCATGCAAACTGACCAATTTCTGACTACACAAAGAATCCTCAGATGGGACGGTTCCTACGTTCCTCAGAACAGTAGAACATGAGGCCCCTGGAGCTGTGTGTTGGTGTTCGGGGCGTTAAGTGTGACATGCAGACTGTGGCCCCTCCATGCACTGGGGAGAACAGGAAGAAAATGACTGACAAAATCCTGGATGTAAATTTAATTTGCCTCTGTGTCTCACACAAGAAGCCAGAAATCTGCTGAAAAACGCCACTGCCCAAATTGGAGCTGGTCACAGGGAGGCCGAAGAAGTTCCAGCCCCTGGTTAACTGCAAAGAGCTTCTGTGTGGAGGGGGACTCCCCCACCCCTGCTGCCATCTGAAGAGGATTTGAGTCAGTTCGATTCAGAGTTCACGTGTTACACACCTGGTGACAGCCCAGATGACTCAACTCTGTGAAAGTGCAATTAGCTCTTTCTGGGTTTGCATATGTGGCTTCATCCTGTTTTAGGGAAGGGGCTTGCTCTTGGCCACAGATCAGAAGTTGAGTTACCTCTTCATCAAGACTGGGACACCTGGCCCAGGAGTTTAGCTCAGCGGCACAAGCACCTGCCTGGCAAGTGCAAGATTGTGAGTTCAATTTCCAGTACCAAACAGCAACAATAATAACAATAGTGGAACACCGAGCTCCATGGTTCATACATTAAAATACTTTGATCACACAAAGCCTGTTTAAAACAAAAGCACACACTGGGGTGGAGTCTTAGTCCTATACCACCTAAGTCCTCATGGGCTGCGTCATCCCATTTGGCAAAAGATGTTCTGTGGTTGGAGGCTGTCTTCACATTGTGGTCTTGGACTAGGACCGAGGGGCCCCTAGTGTGGTGATGTAGACGCACCTGTACCCCTTTCGCTCTCATGAGGGTCCCCATGCCAGATATCAGTCGGAGGGGATCTGCACTTGGGAAGGCCCCTCCGATTCCTCGCCTGCCTGACCTGTCATCCCCAGGCCACTGTGTGCCCCAGACACCAGCCCCATTCTGCAGCACTCGGTGGTCTTGCAACCTGCCGAGCACAAGCTCCAGAGGAGCAGCACCAGGAGCATTTTTTGTGGAGACCTACCCAGAGCAAAGAAGAGCAGCTCTCTCCATTTTGGATAAACCTGCTCATCTCCACAGACTGACATGTACAGAGCTGGCTAGGCCGTTTCTTTGTTCCTCTGGTTAGTCCTGAGCAATATAAACTGGGCTGGCTGAGGAGCGATCTCTGAAATGAGGCGACAGTTGACAGCTGCTGTTTCCCAGCCTGGTGACTCCAGAAAACATGGTTGAATTGGGCAGGATGGAGAGCCATGTTCAGGTGTCGGCCCTGAGATCGAGATCCATGCTCAGGATCGAGCCTTGAGAAAGAGGCTGTGACTTCCAGAGGCCAAAAGGATCGTACATCAGAGCTGAAGCACCAACCCCAAATTATTAGATGCTACCTCAGCTGTGTTAGGCAGATTGCTCTCTTTGCATTTCTTACCCTCTGCATATTGCAGAGGTGATCTCAAGCCTCCTACCTAGCCCAGCTCTCAGGCAGTCACATATTTCCCACCACCCTCATGGTCACTCATCCCTGATACTCCCCCCAGGAGAATGATTAAACCCACATCGGGCCCTGGGTTATGGCCTTTTTTCCAAGGAACACCATCTTGGCTGGATTTAGGACCCCTTGGCTCCCCATAACTGTATAAATGTCTTAGTGTCTTTCGTCTTGCTGTGGGCTGCACTGAAAGTGGTAGATTGGAATTAACTTGTTAGAATGTTAATAACTTCTCCACAGGATTACAATATAAACTTCCCAGACTGAGACCAGGTCCAGGAAGGGCTCGCTGTACATTGGCACTAGGTGGTACTGAATTTCCAGCTGGAAACATAGCCATTGGGCTGGGAAGTAGTGGGCTTTAAGGGGCCACCTAGTGCTATTGCAAGGACTGGTGAGCCTGAAATCTGTAGCGGCTCACGATCCAGCCAGGAGCTGCTACAGACTGGAGGCAGAATTTGTGCACTGAAGGCCTTTGACTGAGTAGACGCCAAGGCCCACCAGTGTCTGGCAGATCCTCTGTACCCTCACGGCAATGCTCAGTGCTGGTTAAGTCTGGCCTAGTGGCCTGAAGAGAGACCTTGCCGCAGCTGTTTACCTGCGCTCTGGGCATCTGTGGCTCCCAAAGCTCCTTCTGAAACTCACATCCGAGAACACTCGAACGCCCAGCCTTCTGCCCTGCAGACTCA